GTGGAAGATTGGATTATAAAATTAAGTGAACATGCAGAAATGACTGACCAGTCTGCAGCGAGGGAGAGATTTTGTTTTTTAAAGACTGGAAAACTTTTTGTTGAAAGGCGAAAAGATCAAATTGATGGTTTCTGGATTGGGGAAATATAAAAGGCCAAAAAGGATGGGGAAGAGAATAAAATGATAATGACACAATAGAAAGAAGGGTGGAAGGCATAGCTGGTTTTTCCCCTTTCCCTTTTTCTTGCTTTCTGTCTCTTACTTCACATCTCATACTACCTACCTGATTAATGGGGAAGGGTTTGGCAATGCCAAGAATCTTTGTCAATAGTATAAAAGGTTATGAGATATGAGGCATTTCCTAGAGAAAGTGGATGGGGAGTCTGTATTCAAAATAAGACTATTTTCCAAAACATCTGAATCTCCTAGTTAGTACACAACCTTAGTGGAAATTCCCTTCCTACATGGCATCTCTTTCTTCCATATTCCTCAACATAACTTGACCAACATTCATTGTTTTAAATCTATTAGTGGTAAACAAAGGTCTCTCATCCTATAGATTCACTATTTAAATTGCAGGTGTAGCATTTACACATTGGATAACTTGTGATTGTTCAGATCAAAGATCTGACAATGCCCCCTAAAGACAGAAAGAATATAGGGCTTATGCTCTTGGAGCCAGAAAGCCCAACTGGGAGGGTGAGGACTGCAAGTTTACAGTGCAGGAATTTATCTACTCACCTATCTGGCTCAGGTATTTATAAGGCAGATTTAACAATGAATGTTTCACGAGCTTATCTAGCTTTAAACCAGTGTTGTCTTAGGACTCTTTCTCTATGATCAATGGGGCATTTTTTTTTTCAGAATCAGCACCCACATTTTTCTCTGCTGGCCTTGCAACCAGCTATATCAATGATGTTTAATGTTGTGTTTAGAATCAGAAAGTTAAAAGAACCACCAACATAAACAGGTAATTATTTATTTAATTTATATCCAGCCTTTATTATTTTTACAAATAGCTCAAGGCGGTGAACATATCCAATACATCTTCCTTCTATTTTCCCTACAATAACAACCCTGAGATGTGAGTTAGGCTGAGAATGAGTGACTGGCCCAAGGTCACCCAGATGGCTTTCATGGGCAGGATTTGGACTCACATTTTCCCATTTTCTAGCATGGTGCCCTAACCAGTAGATCAAATTGGCTCTCTTGTTTTATATTTATATTTCATTTGGTATTGTGTATAGTGTTTCTTCTGGGACCAAAATCTTTTCATAGTGCATCTCTCCATCTTGTAGGAAGACCACCAACATATCACTCTTTGTGTCCACTTATTGTCAGGTAAACAATAATTTATATTTCTGCTTTAATCCTATTTTTAATGACATCTTTGAAGCTAGACTGTTGTTGAATTTCTGATTTGATATCTGAGCAAGATCATTAGCATTCATTTTCCCACTGCATGCTACATGACTCAAAGATTTTCTGCATCTGATTTCTGCAAGTGCCATACTTCACATTCATAAATCATAGTTGGAATGACCATGGTGTTCTCTGCAGGAATTCAAGTCAAAACATCCCTATGCATAACTGTCCAATGTTTGCTTCTACACAGCCAATAAATGAAATCCCACTAGGTCTTGAGGTAATAAACACTTTCTCTTACTTTTGAGGATGTTTAATCATAATATTCAGTAAGAATTTGTCTTCCTAGAACTTTGTTATTTTGTGTTCTGCCATCTGAGAGAAAGAGATCTTCAAAGCACAGAAATAATCTTCAAAAGCCATCACTTGTGGAGATGAAATAGGTAACAATGAATGAATGAATGAATGAATGAATGAATGAATGAAATTCCTGTGATCTAAGATATTTTGTGTTCTGCCTACAACTTAAATGAGCACCTTAAATATCCTACTTCTGAATAGGCATAAATGTGAATTGAGTTGTAAGATAATGTGTATACAGTAGACAGATCATATGATGATTTACAAAAAAGGGCAGGTCCCAACCACGAGGATGTTCCATTCTAAATTTCAGGGGCAAAACTCAGTTATTGGAGGAAAGACAGGTGTAATAGCCTGGGAAAAATCTATGCTGGGCTAGGTTGCAGTAGATGAAATGACAATCAGGCAAATTCATAGCGTATTATAGACGTATTTATTCAGAAGCAAGTTCAATGGTCTCTGTGTCCTTCTAACTCCATTCAGCCATGGTTGGAGTATCCATATAATAAACCTGCCTGCTATAAAGAATTGTTCTATCAGTCTGGAGGGAATTCAGGACTCCAGAATTCCAGTCACACATGTAGTTCTAAGAAATGGCAGATGTCAGAAGTTGTAGACTAGAGTAGGCTATATATCTTCAAACTTTCCAGTTGGGAAATAGCAGTCAACATGTAAAATAAAACAAAAACAAACTATTTCTAAAAGCAAAAACCCTAACAGAAAAAATGTTGCAGCCTAACCCACTAATTTGTGTTTCTTTTCTAAGATATTTTTGATATAGGGTAGCGTTCAACATGCAGATAGTGCTTTAGAATAACAAAAGTTTTCATTCCAAGAATTTTTATAGGCAAGGACTTAATACATTAGAAATAAATTAATTTCCTATGATTCAAGTGTTGTTTAATATGATTTTAGATGGAAGGAGAAAAATAGTATGCAGGAAAGAAAATGATTCAGCCTTGGAGTAAAGTAAACCAATAATAAAAAGTTATGTTAACATGTGTGTGTGTGTGTGTGTCCATCATGATATTCCCCTTTTGGCACATTGTATATAACATTATGCAAAACAGAGAAAAGGAACAAGGAAGATTAAAGTTGTTTGTGTGTGTGTTTGTGTGTATGAGTGAGTGAGTGTGTGAGAGAGAAATACAGTTATACTTACTTTATACCAACCTCATTTCTCAAACTGATAGCCCCCACAGTATCTGCCCTTGCAGTAACATTGTAACATTGGTAAAATGGCTCTCACCTGCAAAAATATTACACTATCTAAATTTCCCAAATAGTTTTCAGGAACAGCCCAAAGATCAAATAGTTCAGTTTTAAAGGCCTTACATTACATTATGGAATGTCTCCCCTGTAAATCAGATTTGCCCCAACCTTGTTAGCATTCCCAAACTGTTAAAATTTTCTTGGGGGCTTAACAAGTTGAAAAATATATTAGCTTGTTTTAGATTTTTTGTTGAATTTTTATTGATTATATTGATTACTGATTATTCTTTTATACTGTTAATAGTCACATGATAGTAGTGATGTAAAAATCTAATTAAAAATTTCCAGTTTGCACATTCAGACCAGTTTTCTTCAGTCCTATTACATCCTTCCCTTTTTTCTGCAATTCACAAAGTTCAGCCTATCTATTTTTCCTTCTTTTCTTCAGTTTAATTTAATCTGTGCTTGTCATCATTTATTCTTCTTGTTATACTTCAGCCCAGTCTTCACTATACTATGGTCATCATCAGATAGACCCAAATACCAACTTCCGCTACTCATTGTGGCTTTGGTCAGCAACACTTGCACGTTTTCTAAAGTGACAGGGACAGTATAGCCTATATTACTACCCTTGGTTGTCACCATGCTGTCATTTTTGTCAGATGTTGACTAGTATGCCACAAACTCAAAGTTCATGTCTACCCCGAGCAGTATTCTATACCCGGATTACTAATCTAGAGACCACCTTTCAAGCCATCATAAATTACATACCTACCAACTAAGAGTGTACGCAGTATATGGGCATAGTCTGAGGACACAAGCATGAACTGTACAATGCGCTTAATTTACTTGCAAGTTTCTAAAATTCAACCATAGACATTATTATAAACTAAAGTTTCTAAGGAAGCCTAGAGCCAGGTTCAACAAGTAACTAAAAGAAAGCAAACTTTTTATTACCATTCATAGATTACTGAGATAGTAAACTGTCTTATGAGAATGGCTCATAACTGCCCTTTGTTGCTTCAGCTATCTGGAGAAAATAAGATCTTTGAGAAGTAGTCTGAGCTGAAGGATGTTATGTAATCCATATGCTGTTGCATATGGAATTTGGCTCCCATTTCCCAAGGTAGATTCTTCCTGCAAGAAGTTATCTTTCCCTCTTTCTTGATCCCCCTGTAGGAAAAAAAATCAGGTCCAGTTGCAAGCCAGGAGAAATAAAATGGAGGTTAATTGGAAAGAAGGATTCAATTTATTGAAGAGCAGAACCACAGCATGCAGTTCTGGGACAGCTGACAAATTAGCTTGATAAGTGCAAGGATTTTTATAGTTTCTGAAATGCTGCAGAGGTTGTGCAATGTAGTGAGCCTGGTGTTTTTTGCTATTCTAACGGTGGTGTGTTAATCCTATTATGTCCTAAAGGTCATGTCCTGTTCTTAGAATTGGGCGGAGGGAGGTGTAAATTTTAATCCTATTGCTGGAGGTGAAGGTGTTTTGTTTGTGAATAGGCTAGCCCAGTCTTTCTTAATGGGCACAAACTATTTCTGCCTTTAAGAACATGTTTCTCCATTTCTCCTTTGCGGAAATGTAATATTCTGCCTCTTTTTATATCCCCCCAAATATTTCATTCTTCTAGAAAACGGGGGGGGAGGGGGCTTCCCACACCCTCTTCTCCTATTTGTCTTCCAGAAAGATTTGGACCCACAGAGGAGTGAGATGCCATAGCTGAAGATCACCCAAGCAGGGATTTATATCTGGGCTGCAAAAACCTAGATAGCCTAAAGAAATGCAGACAACTTTGGTAGTCCTTGGAATTTTTATAGCTCAATTCAGCCTAACCTTTTATTCTGGAACCAGCTGGAGAAAGTACCACGTCAATTGTGCAGTTTGTGAAAAGTGATAACGTTCTTCTTGGCTGCGGTTACTAAATGCCCTCCAGGGTCAGCGAGGGGGCAGCCAGGCCACCTCCGACATTTGCGATCCCCCAATGCCAACGGACCAGAGGAACTCTTCGACCCAGGGCCACTTTGGGGAAGGAGGGAAGGAAAGTGCGCGTCACGATTTGCCCCGCCTTCTCCAGCGCCTGTCCCTATATTTCCCTCGGCCAGGATCGCTGCTAAAAGCTTGGTTAGGGCGGAGAATCCTGTCGCAAGGGAGAAAAGGAGGACCGGGCGCGCGGGATAAGCCGCGCTAGTTAGGACCGCTCTTTTGCGCGCACGCAGGCCAAACTTTTCTTCTTTACCCGGGAAAGTCGCCATCGCAGCTCGGGACAAGCGCCATTAGCCTGAGCGAGTGGGCAACGCAAGACGCTCTGGCGCCAGGTTGCTGTCTGGTGGGCGGCTTCTGCTGCTTCAGGCGCGCTGCCAACCAGGAGGGCGGAAGGAGAGCCATGGGGGTACCAGTGTCAGGTGCCAACGGCCGCTTGGGCGCTCTGTGGAAGAGGCTGAGTCGCGGCTTACGACCCTTCAATCAAACCAAAGGCGGGCGGCAGAGCTGGGACGAGATACACCTGCTGCATCTGAAAAGGTAAAGGCGGGTTTCGGATTGGGCTGCTCCTGCCTTTGAGTCTCAGAAATTAGTCTTTTGCCGGCAAATGAACAGCTGGGCGGGATAGTTTACTCCAGGCTGCAGGACCCGATGCCTGCAGGCGCGCGCGCACCTCTTCTTCTACTGATGAAGATTCAATCACGGCATCGTCCTGCACAGGAGGGAAATGGTAAAATAATAATAATAATAATAACTTTTTCTTTGTAGGCTGGTTTGTTTCTTTGTTGTTCCCTGGGGGGAGCGCTCAGAAACGGCATCCCCTCTCTTTGCAAACTGTTCGAGTCAGGATTCTGCTTCTGCTCTTCCTTCTTGGATCTGGATAAGTCCTTCTCAGGCCCCAAGTTGCTCTAGCACAAGGGGCATAGTTGCATCCCTGAAGCTAGGTCATTTTTTGCACCAGGGAAAGAGTGTTGTAACATTGAATTGTTTGCAACAGCAAGGATTTCTGCCACCTGAAAGAAGTTGTCTCCAAGTCTTGATTTTGCACAAATGTCTTCCTCCTGACCTTGTGATGTGCTGGTACTGTGTACAAATACTTTACCAGCAATCTGATACACATCTGTCTGGGAATAAGCCCCACTTATAATAATGCTTACTTTCAGATCACCTTGGATTACAGTCACTGTATCAAAGAAGTCTGAACTGAATAACTGCTTAATGGTGCCCCAAATCAGTTGCCTTAGATGACTTTCTTACTGTTGCTTATAAAAAAATGAGCCCTGGACTGGTTTATCAACATTTTTATAAAACAAGTTTGTAATCGCCAGAGCGACCCCTTGCTTTGTGGTCAAAGCTTTATAGTGATGCCAGTGGTTGTCCATATAGGATTGGTAGACAGTTCTGGATTTCAAAGTATTTATTGCATGTAATATTTTTAAGGGTATTACAGGCACTTCATGAATGTTATTTATACTTTAAAAAGCAGCCCTAACCTAGGTACAGATCTCTTGTAGGGCTGTGTCTTGCATAGTTCCCAAACCTCAGTAAAATGATTTATACAAAAGAATACTGTGTGATTATGGTTTTTCACTTCCTCCTCAGCTGATTGGTCTAAATATAATGCAAGAGGAGAGGATGCAGGAAAACTTACTTTGAATTGAATTTTGAATTGAATATGAATGAAATCTTCTGTACTTGATAGAATCGCCTCAGAAAGTAGATGAAATTCATTTTTAAACTTCTTGTGAAAGTATCTTTAGAGTCATGTTAGAAAGTTCAATATGAATAAAACCAATTAAAAAACTACCCCAGCCATTGCAAATTTAATGGTCCTTCATGGCCAACATTAATTGAAAATTAGAAAATAATTATCTCAGACAATTTGAAAACACAGTTTGGGGAAGGCTGCTTCAGGCCCTTAAAAAGCAATATATGACATCACATCTCTGTTTAAAGATATGGTGGCCATTGTACCTGAGTTATCATCTATGAGTACATAGATGATAAATACTCAGACAGAGTATTTATTGAAGAGTTAGCATTTTACAGAAAACAACCAAAGCATTTGTTTCGTTGAAAATTTCCATTTATCCTATAGCTGGGGTAGAATGATGTTGATTAGATTTTAAATATTTCCATGGTGAAAAATTGCCATAAATGCAATATATAGGTAAGGGAACAAATTGGTGGAAAACTCAGGGAAACATACAACTATTAGAAATACTAGAGTGAGTGCAGTGTAATATTTTAGCTATAGTTTTGAAATAATTCCTATGGATTATAAAATCATTATTTTGGAATTGACTATTTTGTATTAGTGAAATTTTAAATTTGCATTTCTTTTTAGGTGTAAAAATGTCTAGGCATAATAATCAGTTAAGTAATGAATAAGGATGTAAGGAATGTAATTACTGCATAGGAACTGCAAAGTTTATATTCCTGACTTCAGTGTAACTAGGATAACTGGCTGCCTAAAGCAGATTCAGAATTTAATTACTGAATTAGGGAAGCATGAGCAAGGAGATTTTTAATATCCTGATTCATAAGATGCAGTATCAAAGGCCATGAATCCACTGCTTAAAGTCTTCTTTGCTTACAGGTTAATCTCTTCTAAAATACAATATCATGTTCAAAGACATATTGCATGTATTGTGTGTGTGTGTGTGTGTGTGTGTGTGTGTGTGTGTGTGTGTGTGTGTGTATCTCTCTCTCTCTGTGGGTTTCAGCCTAATACTGTTCATATTATTCCTGGTCAATATTTTTGGCTGCTATTTCTAAACAAGTATACTTCAAAACAATTTCATGCTTAGAATCAGATACCATATAATAAAATTATTGATTAATTTGGCACTTCCACACCTGCACTCCAAATTGTATATCTCTACCTATAGTATGAAGTACTTTACCTGACCAAAGATATACAACTTGAATCAGTGTTCAGTATATACAGTACAGCACTATAGTGTGATATGTGAATTGTATTATTGTGAGTTAGGGATTAATTGCCTAATGCAAGCCAAAGAGAAGAGTTATGCAGTTAACTCCACACTTGGGGCAATAAAATCATTACTTTCCTATAGATGTAGACTACCTGGCCATACCATGTATTTGAATTAGTTTACAAGGATTTTGATATAGGAGTGTCCTTCCCTTTAGATTTGGCTGTGCTTTTTGTTTCCATTTGAATTGTTTACAAGGTTAATTGCAAGCACAGTCAACTGCTTTAATCTTTAGAGCTAGATTAGGCAGGAATTTGCCTAGAGAAAGAGAGATGCTTTTATTTGTAATTCAGTAAATTCAGTTTGGCCTCCAGTGATAATTATTACAAGGAGATAAAAACTGATGGCGCTTGAGGGAATGAGATTTAAACTTGTGAGCCTTAGTATAAATTTACATTGTGTTTATATGGTAAAGCTGTTGAAAGTAATTATATTGCCCAGTAGAAAATTGTGGATTTGGAAATGATTATAATCCCATGTCTCTTTGAACTACTAATTCTGCTTTCCTTCTGAAAGATGTGGTGAGATCTGTGTAAAGCATATGGCTGCTAAAGTTGCTACTTATGTTGTTATAATTATTATCTATCTGAGAACTGTATAGTTCAAGCCTGAGCTACAGATATTCTGTTCTAACGTAATGTGTGCTTCTCCCTAGTAAGAGTTTGGAAACCTTCCAAACAAGGATACCAAGTAGGCATTTTTGATATAGGTCTTTTCAATCATCACACATTAACTCTTTTATTAAGGATAATTTCAGTCAAAATATGAATCATATTATTATTCTATTTGTGGTGGGATTCCAAAATTAGATTATTTTTACTAGAAATCTCATTTAAGATACAATTCAGGATTAACTAACTAACTAACACTAGTTAGCCATGTTCTGATAACTAAATGACCTGAATACATCTATGCTTTGCAGATTCGATCAAAGTCCAGTTAAACTATTGTTACTTGCAAGCTGTGTATAAAAGTAGCAAAAACTACATGACCCATATACTTTGCTGAGGAACTACACTTCTGTATCCAAAACCAGGTTACATATTTTATGTTACATGTTTTATGGGGGTTTTTTTCTCTTTTGATTTGAAGAGTGCAAACAATTATACTTGCTTAGGCCTTACTAAGCTATTGCCTTGTTTAGCAATCATTTTACTTCTTGCATTTATGACCTTCTCAGGTCTGTAAAATAAAGGAAAGCTGAAGTAAATCATAAGCACAGTTGCAATTTCATTTAGCAACTGCTTTACTTAACAACCAAGTTGCCAGTCCCATTTGTGGTTGCTAAGCAAGCACTACCTTTATAGAACAATCCTCTCAAATGTGGCACTTCCAAATATGTAAGGATAATAAATGTTGGGAAATGCAAGGCCAACTCATGAAAGGTGCCCAGTCAGAGAATCTAGATATAAAGTTCTAAAATGGGTTTCTAAAAAGTTTTTCTCATTAATGTCTCCAGAATGGGAACAACTATGAGCTGCCCAACTTCATATACTGACATTCAAAATTCAGTTGTTTCTTTTCCTTTTCTCATCAACTAAGGCTATAAAAAAGAACATATATATAACGATGTCATGTTAATTGAGAGATGCTGCTAGTGCAAGATTCAGAAGAATTAACAGTGTTCTGTATAGGCATTTCAATACAAGCCATATCACCACTAATGCATAGTTGTAAATAATTGCTTTATATGAGATGATGTTGGATTTTAGTTATCCTGTTTTTAAATAGATGTTTGTTACTTTAGTATACAAAAATGGAAAAAAACCAAACTGGTATAAAAAGCGAAAAAAGCAAACAGAAAGCAAAATAAATACATAATATAATACATATAAAAGCTCAAATTTTAAACATAGTAATAAACCTTAACCACATGGAATAATGTTGATCAGTCTTTCCATTATGTCAGCACAGAGATTGTTTATAATTGAAGAACAATCACATAGCAGTCCAAGAGAGTAAATCTAGAACTGTACTATATTTCCGTCATAACAAAACAAACTCCCAATTTTCAATATATAATAACACATTGACCTCTTAAACTGGTATTTCAAACTTTTTTTCACTGAGGGTTGAAGAAAATTCACCAGGCATTTTTAGACTTATCAATCAAAAGGTTCATTATAACTAAAAAGCAATTAACAACCAATTTATGAAAGCGATTAGAAAAGGGAGTATGTAAACCAAATGCCTTTCAAAAGCACTGACCATGGTTTGAGCAAGATAGTTATTCCCTTGTCTCCTGGGGTTCTAAACCCAGTGGTCTCCATCTTGCACAAGGAGCAATTGTGAGTGATTTCAAGTCCTCATTGTTCAGAAACGAATTACAAAGAGCTGTTCTACTTCCTGATTCTTCATTCCGCCATGGTTGTCAGCTCTACTTTTTATGGCGCTATCTTCAGTTCACTATTTCTTTCCTGGAAGTCTGTCTTTCTAAGCTTTCTCTGAGGTATTCTGTAAACATGGGGGGAAAGGGAAATCTTTAGTTGAATTAATTCCATTTTAAGAGTTTAAAAACATACTTAAGATTCCTTTAGATTC